AAAAAAAAGCATTATTAAATCTGTCTACTATACCTTTCAATCGCGTGATCTCTGTGATGTTACGTTCAGCATCGGACTTCCATCTGTTCAGCTCGAACTTTAACTTTTCACTATCCTTTGAAAGAATGTGAGAGATACGATCCGACTGCTCAGCGCGTCTCTTGGCCTAAATAGAATGTACGACATAAAAATAGAACAATTTTATCAACCCCTAGCCCCTAGTTATACTCACATCCATGCATTCTTTTTGACATTTTTCTAATAGAACCGTCTTCTCCGCCACTACGTCAGTCAGGTGTTTTCGCATTTTGTCGCTAATTTGGCAATGCGCACATTTCGCATTATTTGCTGAATATAGGATTTTGAAGTAAATAGAGAGAAGCTCCAATAACCAGTGGCCTAGCGTGGATATTGCAAGAAAAAAGTTCAGAATAAATTACTCACCAACATAAAGTGTATCGTTTAACTTTCGCTCAGCCCTATCACGAGCTTTGTTGGCAAGAATAACGTCACGATCACGTGAGCTTATATCTCTACAACACGTCGTAGGTAAAAAAGTCCTATTATGTCAAAACGAATTTGAAGAACAGAGCATACCTCAAATATCCATCAGCGCGTTCTTCGATTGCTTCCTTCTCTTTGATATGTAGGTCTATGCGAGCCTGGAAAACATCTTGTTTAAGGTTATCCGTAATTGAAAACATTGAAATATCCCGCTGAAGATGATTTTGTCAGGAATTCGTAAGAGAGGGACACAAAGTAGAAGCCAGAACTCACTCTGACATCAACAAATTACTGTTTGCGCAAAAGACTCACATTTAACAGCATATTTTTCCTCTCCACATCATCGATCCTTCGCTGGACCTCGTTCTTTTGTGCCTAGATACAAAAGTTTTTTTTTTTTTTGAAAAACGATGAACAGAATGACATACTTCAATGTTATCAATGCTCTTTTTTGCTTCTGCAACAAATTCTTCTTGATAAAAGGAGAACTCTCTTTTTAGAACTCCGATGGCGTCACGAAGATTTCGCAGTTCAGGTGTATACTCATCTCTGAACAATGAGACTCGAGTAGAAACAATACAACTTCAGTGGAAGGAAAGTTTACCTGAATTTTTTAATCACAGAGTTCATGAGGTTAACAAGAGATATTAGTCGTCTGTTTTCGTCGTGGACCTGCGTTAATTCCTCAGACTGCCGTTTTAAAAGATTTTGAGTTATCATTAAACGACGAGATACATGACTTGGTAAGTTGGGTCGAGGGTCCACTTTTGAACTGAAA